ATCTTATTTTAAACATGAACCAAAGTCTTTGTGCAGTTTTGTAGATGAAAGAACTCTGTTGTGAACTAGACACCATTGTATTAATGCCTTATCCTAGAAGCTCTGAAGCCTGTATCCCATTTCACAAACTCTCTCAGGCAATTAAAGGTGCAAAGTCATCGTTACACTCTGTAACACTTCTGATGAAGTGAAAGTCATTATAAAATAATGGGATTTTAAAAGTGCTAGTCTGACTGGGCTCTTACACTGCACCCACCAGCTCATGTTTCTCATATTACTAAATTTAGGACAGAGACCTGAGAAGTGTTGTGTTGCAGGGACTGGGTAAGGACTCAGGCAGAAAGACCACATCCCTGATTTCCAATAGTAGACAGTAGAAGCACTGAGCCTCTGCCTTCCCCTAGCCTCCTTCTCCTATTTACTTATTGCTAGTGTCATGTATTAATTGCAAGGGGAAAAAAAGCAACACAAAAATGAGCAATCTGATACAACAAGTAGAGCTAGTCAAACGGGTTCACCAGAATGAAGCATGGAGTGTCCCAATGTTTTTTTCTTCCAAGGAGGAGCATATTCCCAGGGCATGTCCAGTGTTCATCGTTATGAAGGTGCTCTAAACTATCCAGAGATGGAGCTCACTTCCTCTGAATTGCACCCATTTAAATGTCTTCACTGATAAAGTCTTGCAAGGAAGTGAAATGAGGAAAGCTTAACTATCATATAGCTTTGCCCTAGGCTGTGTGCAGTACTGAGTTTTACTGTGTGGTTAACAGACAACTTTTAATTATTTCAGGCTTGTCGTTCCCAATAAGGGCTACTCGTCATTAGACCAGAGTCCAGATGAAAAGCCACTGGTAGCCCTGGACACGGACAGGTATGCAAAGTGTCAGTAAGATGATATAAATTAGGTGTGAGCGAGTTTTCACGCCAGAGTGCAGCAATGAAGCGAACTCCTGTTGAAACTGCTCTTGCAAGCTGCTCTTTCTCTTCCTTGCTGTGCCCTTTGGCACGTGCTGTAACTGGTCTCTCTGTGTAAACAAGTAGGAAGAGACATGAGTAAAGAGCACTGTGATGGAAAGATCTGAAGGTCACAGATGAAAGTTGCTCTCCATGCTCCCTTGATGTAACTTTTCTGTGCCTCAAGGACAGCTTCACAGCATGAGAAGAAAAGGGCTAACCAGGGAACGCAGGTCTCTCTAACTATTTGCTTCTTTGCTATATCTTGTCCTTCCCTGCAGTGATGATGACTTTGACATGTCCAGATATTCCTCCTCGGGATACTCATCAGCTGAGGTGAGTTATGCTCTCTCCTTCCATCCTTGCTATGAATGCTAATAGTAGAGCAGCCAGAAATGGCTTAGAGTGGCCTTGTACTGCACACAATGAATTTACCAGCGGTGTAGACACTGTGAGTCTGGAAGGGGCCATGGCAGATGCTGTCATGTTTCTTTGTTCCCTGGTGATTCAGTTAGCTCTGTCCCCATGCTGCCGTGGCACAGAGATCTGCCTGTCGGCTGTCTTCACAGGTACCTTTGGCTTCACTTAAGCCTTTCCCTGTTCTGCTTAGTCCTGCAGTGTTGGCCCATGTGGTGCAAAAGCATCAACTTGTCTGTCATACCAGCTCAGCAACCATATGCGTGCCAAGGACACAAACAGAGGACCTGAGGGTGTGCTGTGATTTCCAGTTCTTGGGGTGGTCAGGGTCACCCAGCCTGTGTTTACTTGGAGCAAGCAGAAATTCCAGGGAGGATTTGCAGATATGAACTCTTGTCCTTTCAAAGAGAAAAGGCAGGAAGCTCAGCCTTGTTAATGCCTCTGCATTGTTTCTGAATATATTCCCAAACTCTCTCCTGAATTAGTTGCTCAGCCTCTGGCTACTGCTTCTACGGAATCTGATTTTACATCCAGGGTGCTGAGCAGCCATTCTGCAAAAAAACTTTCCTTTGTATCCCTTACTTGGGCAAAATACATCTGAAACACAGAGAAAAAGCCAAGAGAGGGGACCAAATCAAATGATCTAGGCTGTCTCTGAGCCCTGATGAAGTGTTGTTCATCCAGATCTGGTTAGAAAGCACTTGAATCTGAGATTACAAAGAGCCAAGAGGCTTTATCAACTTTCAGCTGCTATAGAGTGCCCTGGACTGAGAGGAGGGACTGCCCAGCTGTCAGTTGGTTTATTAACATTATTATTACATTATGTTAAATGAGGGCTTGTCTTCATGGAAACGTTATTCCAGAATAAAATAGTGTATTGACTTGCTACTCTGGCATATCTCACCCTAGATATTCCTTTTCTGGAATAAGCTAGAACAGAAGGCATCCCTCACCTGTGGTCAAAAACTGGGACTGTTTCATTAATGGGGCAGCTGTTAATGATGGGGAAATACATTCCAGAATAAGAGACCTCCTTCATTTTCCAACTGTCAGAAGTAAGAAGTCTCAAGTGTTTGACTGTTTGTCTCTTTGTCTGTAGCAGATCAACCAAGACTTGAACATCCAGCTGCTAAAGGATGGGTACCGGTTAGATGAGATCCCAGATGACGAGGACCTCGACCTAATCCCCCCTAAATCGGTCAACCCTACCTGCATGTGTTGCCAAGCCACCTCCTCCACCGCCTGTCACATCCAGTAGTGAGGCCGGCAGGCTGTGATCAGTGCTTTCCACTATAACTGTAAAACTTAACAGCCATTGCTTCCTCCTATGGTAGGACGTGCACCTCTTTGTGTTCATGGAGCCAGGAGAAACCAAAAAATTCATTTTATGATTGGTTAAGTTATTTTAAAATATGGTTAAACAAAAGAGAAGTTGTTCAAAGTGCCAGGCAGTGCCTGGCAGAACTGACTGGTCTGGAGAGCGAATACAGGTGGTTCCAGAGATACTTCCTTGGTTGGTGTAGGCACTGGGGATATTTTTTAAGGTGTCTATACCAGAATAGGAAGGGTCAGATGGGGCTGCAGGTAATCCTACCCACCAAAACCAATCCATTTACAAGATCAGGGGTGAGTCTGAGGTGTCAGGGGGTTTTACCAGTAAGAGGAGGTCAGTTCTTAATTCATTCACTAAACATGATCCATTTGCATAACCAAAATGATACTTTAACTGGGGCACAGGAATGGGAATGGAGCAGGGCACACTTTCTTATGGCAAGGCTAGCCAGGACTAACATGACACAATTCATTCACTTGCAAAGAGGACAAATAAGTGACATTTCACTGTGATTCAGTACTAGCTAGAGCTGTCGTGTCACGTATCCAATGCAATCTACCCTTAGCTCCACATTAAATTATCACCAAACACATCAGATTTGATCTGCAATCCATCCGTGCTCTTCAGGGATTCAGCCCTTGCCCAAGAGTACCATGCTCCTGAGTTCAGTCCAGTCACGTATAATGACTTCAGCCTGTATTTAATTCCCATGAGACCCATCTGCTTCCAAAAATCTTAAACTTTGTTCAACAAAGGAAAAATGAGTCCTGCAGGAGACAGGACTAGAGCTGTACAGTCTGAAGGTCAGTGCTGGAAAAGCTAGTTGAAGAAAGCATGTTTTTACAGTGCTCAACTGTTGATATTCTGTTGACATTGCATCTCTTGGTGCCTGTAGGAGAGATTTGTTAACACTGAAGGCATCTCTGTGGTGGTGTCAAACCTGTGGGGAGTTTTCAGCAACAGTCAAATAATGAACAGTTTAAGCTGAAAAAAACCCATGAGAGGAAACTACTCTTTATCCTGTCTCTGCCCACTTGTGAACCAGGTTTGGTCTGTGTTAGAGCTATCCCATGTTAGGAGCAATTGTGTTTATTTGGTGCTGGAACAGTCAGGAAACCCGGCATTACATTAGATTTGGACTGACTTGCCAGTTCACCAGCAGATTGTTTTGAATACAAAATAATTTCTGGAATTATGAAACATGTCCTCTCCCTGGCTGGTCTTATGCTGCTGGATTCAGCATATGCAGGGCTCAGGTGAGGGATGGGCTGGCATTTTTCTTGGTTTTCAATTCTTTTGCCACAGGCATGACTGCATTTTCCTGCCCTGCCAGGAGGAGGGACTGCCTGCCTTGGGTCATTTGTTCTGTTATAGCTTGGGGAACAGAAAAAGCAAGGGCAATTCGAAGCTTTCCATCAGAATTCCTGAGTCACTGGTTAGAGCCTCAGCTCCACTCAGACAGATCCTCCATCTGAAATTTGCATAAAGTGAGCTGAGTCTTTAAGAAGTCCTCTTCATGATTAGGAAGAGATTTATTTAACATCCTGGTGTTTCACTCTGCACAGTGCAAAGCATGATACCATGCACAGCATGAGCAAAAGAGCAGGCACACAAGATTCCTGGGCTTTATTATTCACTAGCTGGTATGGGCAACTGTTAAAGCTATGTTTGTACCTCCCTCCCTAAAACAGTGTGCTGCCACACTGGCTCCTGGCCATGGAAAGAGGACTGAGTGATGCTGTTTACTGAGCATCCCTGACTCCCCATGTAGAGGTGCTGGTTAATTTGCCAGCTCCTCTATGAAGAGTGTTCTTCAAGTGAATTCTTCTCCCTTTCTCACCACCTGGTAATGCTGAGGGGAAGTATTTCCAAAACATTTCTAAAGAAGCACAAAGCATCAGGTCTCCAATTCTTTGTTTCTTCCTTCATGTGCCTGCTTTCCTCTCCAGTGCTAGCTTAGGTTGAGGTTAGCAAGTTTTCTGGAGGTGAGGGAAGAGCTCTAACAACTCTGTGTAGAAAGAAAACATAAAGGGGAAAAAACATTCCATCTTTTAATTTTTTTTCCTTTAATGAGGAATGTAGACAAAACCTAACAGAAACACTGTGGTCAAACCAAATCCTGTAAAACATGACTGAGTCTCTTTAAATCTTCACTCTTCTAAAGAGGGACTTTGCAGTTCAGCATTGGTACCATGCAATGTCTTCATCACATTTATCTTCCTGGGTCAGTCTCTGTGCCTTCCAGCCAGGCTGCACACACTCAGCCTTTCCCACAGCCCTTGCTCAGGAGCTCAGAGCATTTCAGTGTGCCTGCTAGAGCAACAAGCCATCTGTTTACATGGGTCAGCTGTGGAGGACTGCAGGTCCCACAGGTACCCGTCATGATGCCATCATGTTCGATCTAAGACAGAATGAGGCTTCCTGACACTGTATCTCCCAGGGTTAATGCCTCCCCTTTGAAGGACAGACCTTCCCTGAGAACCACTGCCCCATGGCACCACAACCAAATCCTTTTATTGTCCCTATTGCTGGTTTTTGCCTGCCGTGTGCTCTGAGGCATTCCACAACCCTGCAACTGCCCTCAGCCCTTTGCATTGTGTGATGTGCATCTGCTTCTAGCACAACCCTTTAGGGAGGAAGGGAGATGAATTTAAATGTTACATGCAGTGCTTTGGAGGACAGACTGACGCACAAGCCAAGTGGTTTTCCCTGTGCACAGGAGCTGGTTGCACAACTAGCTGGTTTGTCGTGACAGTACAGGACCATAAAATGGCAATTTTTTGGCTTCTCCTCTCTATGCTTTGTGTTCATATATTTTATTAGGGGAATAAAGTAGAAAGGGTGGGGGAAAGTAGTTACCTGTGTAAGGTCATTATCAGGAAAGCTGAATGGATTAAGGCAATGCACATGTGGCTATCATAGAAAATTGAACACTAACCCTTCTGAACCACAGTCCCTTGGGCAGGTTATGACCATGGGGCATGTTTGTTGGCTCGTTATGGAATATGCTGGACAGCTGGCATTATATATTAACTGCAGACTGGGATGGCTCTCCCTATCTGGTCTCAGGGTCAGACCTTTGCTTCAGCCAGAAGGTTTTCCTTGTGCCCTTGCTGGAGGGTACATTGCAGTGATTTCTACATGGCCGTTCTGACACTGCTCACCTTAGACCAGTCTCTGCCACCATGGCCTGGAGAAGGCAAGAGCAAAGAGCACAAACCCTGACTCTCTGTCGCAGCATTATAAAGCCCTAAAATCTGCAGAGCTGCTGGGCACTCTCCTAAATGCAGATTGCATGCAAGAAAGCAAATTGGTCCTTGTTCCAGTCTCTACATCAAACCAGATGGTCTTCTCAGGCCCCATTTTCAGTCCAAAGCTGTACAGAATACCAAGGGGAGGAGCGCTATAAAGTATGAAAGGCTACATCATTGTTCATCTAAATTACCATGCAAATAGGATTTAAGGATATTGATACTGGTGCCTCCACAAAGGAATTTGCATTTGATGCCTCCTAAAGCCAGACTGGCTTTCTGTTAGGATTTTATGTAATTTCAGTCACCAAATTACCTGAGTTGAAGCAAGCCCTTTCATCAGATGTTAATTTTGCCCTTTAATGTGAGCCGGCTTTGAACTCCAGGGTCTCAGCACTCAACTCTCTTTCTCTGTTCTGCAAACTCCCCATTTCCAGATGGCTGTGTGAGGAGGAACATCCTCCTACTGTTGAGGAAGGTCTTTAGATAGCTTAGTCTAGGCTGCTTTTCTGGTGGTTATAAATAAACTTTGGCTGAAAGGAGACTGATGTCCAGGTGACCATCCCAAAGGCTCATTTGATGTCTTATCAGACATATCTTGAAGCCAACCCTTGGAAGAGCCACTGGATTGTACCTGACGTTGCTGCATGTCTACCCCCAGCGTGTACGCTTGGCCATTGGGTCTGCTGTGCTGTTCTGACTGTCTTGCCTGCAGATTCCTTGTGACCACCAAGCCTGCTGCATGGACTTTGAAAGGGACTTCAGGATGCTCCCCCATGGACGAGATGGACTCAGCTGCTTCTAGTTTTGTCTCTCCAGTTCCTTTTCCAAAAGGAGGTACCCGCTCTGCTTAGCTGTGTGCTGGCTGACGCATTGGTCTGTGATCCTGAGCAGAATCCTTTCCTCTCCGTGCAGAGCTGGCCTGCAAGCTGTACAATGGCCTGCAGGAGGCTTGAAAAGTACAGCACCCTGTATGTGACTCAACAGAAACATGAAGTTGCCTTTGAAGAAAGGAAAGACCCAGCTGGGCACCAGATGGAACGGCAGGAAAAGGAAAACAAGCAGTAACTAGAAAGGTTGCCAAGTGCTGTCTTGGCCTAGGGCAGATCCCAGTTGTCCGAGTTAATCTGTCTCAGTGCAGTGCTGATACCAGCAGGGAGCAAAGCTCGTTTTCAGATGCACACACCAGAAACACCGTGTCTCCAAGCTGGCACCACAGCCAAATACTAATGCAGAGAGTCTGCTGGACTGTTAGAGCACAGAAATGAGATCTGGGGTCCCTTGCTGCTGTTGGCATGTAGTACACATTCGCTCTAACCTCAGGCAAGTCACATCCCCTCTTAATGTCCATTCCCTTCTGCAGCACAGAGGAGAAACGTGCCTTCCCAAGATGTTACCACCACCCTGCATGGATGTTGCCAAGTGTGTTCCAGGCACCATTGATAGGATAGCTCTGCAAGCAAGATGCAGAAAGCATGCTATAGAAATTTTACGCATATTTTCAAAGTACTACTCTGCTTTTCCCCTCTTTACCAGCTGCTTGCATGTGCCAGAAGGCTATGGGGTGGAGGTTAAACAGAAAGATTAAACAGCTTTGGGGGAAGATGTTTGGCACGGATGTGTTTTCCAGTGACTTGGCAGCTGGCTCTCACACAACTGGCTTCTCAGTCTGCACATTGCCACAGGGAACATGCAGGGAGACTTGATGGGCCAACAGCACCATCCCCTGCAAGTAGAAGTAAGGAACTTTGTGCAACTGGGATAGTGAGTGCTGGTGGGAGCAAAGAGA